GCAATTTTTTTAATGTTGCCTTTAATTTGGTACTAATAATTACACATGTGCTTTTTTCATAGACTGCATTGTTTTCGTAAAAATGAAAAAACAAACTACATGATCAAAGCTCTATTTCAGTAACTGTTCAAAAAGACCACCATGCTGACGGATACAAGTGCGGCATCTTTTTAATAACGAAAAACGTACTTCCGCAAAATTTGTTGTGGCTTGAATTTGATGAAACGCATTATCTATTCTTTCTTGTATTAATTCAGCATATACTAGTTGTTTAAAAGCGCCTCACAAAAAGAAATCCAGGTGGTTTAAATCAGGAGATCTCGCAGGCCAATGTGCGAGTCAATGTCTGCCAGTCCATCGTTGTCTAAAATGATTATTTAACCATGCGGTTAGGTCACGACGAACATGCGGTGGGGACCGTCGTGCTCTCGATGCTAATGGAACATCATCTAACACATTTTCTATGTAATTCTCTAGAAAAGCTAAGTGTGAGTTTGTATTTAAACGGTGTGGCTATACAGTTCGCCATTGAAAATGCCGCACCAGACAATTCTAGAAAATCTGTGTTGAAACCCTGTGGATTCTTACAGAACGGGGATTTTCTAACGACCGAATATATTTACCATGAGAATTAAAGGTTCCACTCCTCAGAAAAGCGATCCATCTGACCACAAAACCAAATCAATAAAATCTGCATTTTGATTATACATTTGCAGTAACCACTCACAAAAATTTGGCCGTTGCACTTCGTCGCCGGGTTGCAGACATTGCACATTTTGCCGATGGTAAGGATGTAAAACTTTTCAATTTAAACTTCTCCACGCAAGACTTTGGGAATATGGTAACTGAGCTGCAATCCACCTAGTTCTTGTACTAGGATCGTCCAACGTCAAATTAATCACTTCCAGTTCCTCTTGAACAGTATACCTCTAACTCCGTAAAGTTTCATATTCCATAATGCCGAAGTCTTAGAAATGAACGCGTGAAAACCTATGGGGTAGGTTGGCGCCTGTTAGGAAATCTACGTTGATACTCCGAACAAGCCGCTAAAGCATTTCCATTACAGAACCCGTACACAAAAATAATATCGGCGTACTCATCATTGCTAAATTCCATTTCACAACACTCGAAAATAGAAAAAATGGACTTTTGACTTAACTTTAACAAAAAAAAAATGTAGTAGTAGTAATGATAACAACCGTATAACACAAAATTATGACAAACTATCTCCCAAGGAAAGGTCAAGTTGGTGTCAAGGCCTCCTATTTTATTTTGAAATTAATTGTATCTCGGTACTTCATGAATGATCTAGCTTGTTTTATTTTTATTTTTATGAAAACAGTGCACTCTAAGAAAATTTAAGATAAAATTCGAAAAATCACGCGTTTCGAAAAAAAAACTGAGATACTATTTTTATTTGGAAAAATAATGTCACTAATCCTCTGAACGTCCGCCACTGGTGCACGTTAATTTTAAGTAAAGACTTTTGAATGTAGAAAATACTTAGATGAATCCACATACCAAATTTTAGTTCATTCCAGTTGACGGTTTTGAAGATATTAACAAAATGCTTTTATTTTTAAATTTCAAAACCCCGTAGCTTTTTAATGAAGCCATCGAGGAAAAAATGTTACATAGAAGACCCCCTTAAAATGCGGTCCTGTGTATGATATTTCATATTTGGTTACGACCTGTGAATCACCCTGTATAAGGCACGATATCGATTATAGGCCATAGCAGTCTTACGGTGGTATATGATTCTTGACCTTAGCGGCTATCGCGCATGCACATCTGACGCACATTCAAACATAGAACGGCCTAACTACATTTTCTTAAATATATTATATTGAATGCATTTACTTATCAATTCTTCCAAGTTGGAACATCCTGACTGCACTGTGTACCTATAATTACTGAATATATTGTCCTATCTTCAAATATTACCAGCTTCCAAACACAGAACGTCCTAGCGTTAAATTACAAATTTTAATAAACTGGTAATTAGGACGTTTTAACTAAGGAGGGCAGCGGGATAGTCCCGTGAAGCACCTAGTTCCCGAAGTCGTGATCACGTCACGCTTTTTTATGGTATTTAGTAACAGCTGCGATTCGAGATATAGAAATATCTGTTACTAAGTAACCACTAGTTCCTTAGTCTGTTTTCATCATCAAGTACCTTACTCAGCATCATCCTCCCAAGAGGTTTTATATCAACCCATTTGACCTCATTTAATGCCTAGCAAAATTGTCAGCAGTAAGCCTCTCAGTCCCAGCTGTCACAGGCTGTCAACCCATCTATACTCGTGTACCAAAACGGGGAAAAGTTGCATAACACATCGATACGCTACTGATATCGGGACGTGCCTTTGAATCAGCAAAAAATACTCAGCGTCAACACTGGCGGAAGCTATGCTTTGTAACTGACTTCCGTTTTGGTACTAGGCCATACTATATTCGAGTAGTGTATCAAGAGTATTCCCCTTCTACGGTGACATCATCTGAGTCAATTGGACGACGGAATCAATATTATATATTTGGTGACTCATGACTAATGTGCTGTTATCTGTGGACTAAGGAGTAGCATAGTGAGAACAATCATTTTCATGTTTTTGAAAATCGATTCAGTTAGCGAACAGTAATTGTGAGAAAATTTATAATTATTGTCGCTATCATGGAAAGGGTCGCCTGAAGATTTCGACACAAAGTTACAACCATCATATAGACGAAAAAGCAGTTAAGCTTTCAAGAGTGAAGGATGCTGCGGGATCCAAGGCGGTATTGATGAACTCCTATCCAATCCATCGGGAATGAACGAGCTGTGGGAATGCAATCCCCAATCGGAAGTTGAACTGATTCGATCTCCTAGTGAACCTACTGTTAGCAATCCGTATACTTTAATTTGACCTATCAGCAACGTTCAGTGCAACGACTGTCACGCTAATCGGTTCCCAACAAGGGAGAGGCAGAAGAATGTGCTTGAGAGGGATGGAATGTTTGTATCACCCACACACCGTCGCTTGTTAATGCTGACGTCATCGTAAACAAGTTACTGTTTTGTTCACGGAAATTTCGAATGTCAGATGAAACACTTCACCACCCACATATCAGCAGGGGTGTATTGTTATCGCAAACTTCTATATTTTCAAAGATATGGATGTCTGTATGCTCTTTACGACTAACTGGCATGCCCTTATTTAGGAAGCGTGAAAAAGAAGGTGATATAAGTTGTTTACGTACAGCACACATTCTGAACTAATCTAAATAAAACTAACTGAGTGACGCTTACGATTCGACACAAGTTAGTTATAATCTTACCTCCCCCCTTCCCGCTGTTAAGACGGATTTTCGTCTGAGATATCTTAGCTGGTGCCAAACACGTCGTTTTTGAATGTTTGACGTTCATAATTGAGGTAAGGTATCTTTAATGTTTGTAGATAACTTCCCAGTCTCTATTTAGGAGAAAAGTACAACTACAACGTCTAATACATCAAAAACGTATACACTGATTATTATCTTATTATTCGCTCTTTGACAGTTGACAGGTATGGTACGCTCCTCTTGAAATCGTGCGTACGATCAACTACTTAACTAGGTCAGAAGCTAATTTTAACTTAGGTGAGAAAATCGGTAGTTCGTAAGCAACTATAGTTAAACGCTTGCTTTGTGACTAATCACTTGACATATCAATAGTAAAATCCATTTTGGAGGAGCGCTACTCAAATGTAAAGGAATGTTAAGGGACGCAATATTGTGTTCTTGACCATTACAGTCTGTAGCTTTATTATTACTGCGTGATTTCAGCAATATGGGACCTGCAAGCCTGTAGCCTTTTTATCACTGCATCATCTCAGCAGTTTGGGATCTGGCGGTGTGTAGTTTTTCATCACTGGGTGATTTCAGCAATGTGGGATCTGTAAGTCCGTAGCTTTTTTATCACCTCATTAAATCAGCAATTTGAGTCCTGGCAGGCCGTAGCTTTTTATCATGGTCTCATCAGATTAGGTCCTGACAGTCTGTAGTTTATCACTGCGTGATTTCAGCAATTCGGGTATGTTAGTCTGTAGCTTTTGTATCACCACGCCATCCCAGAAATTTGAGTCCTGGCAGTGTGGAACCGTTTTATCACTGCGTGATCTCAGCAATTTGTTTACCTAACAGTCTGTAGCTTTTTTCTCAGTGCGTGATCTCAGCAACTTCGGTACTGACAGTCCCTAGTTTTCTTGTCAATCCATGATCTCAACAATTTGAAATCTGGAATTAGAAGTTGCAGTAATACTGTAAGGCGATAATAGGCGCTGAAACAATATTTTTTTTGAAATCAGTACACTGGAGCGGAGTCACAGAAAAAAATCAAAATAACCCCAAGATGACACATGACAGTTAGGCATGATTATTACGCAAAAATTGCAATTTTTGCAATTGTGAAACGGTTGAGTAGCTGCTACTCTTCTTTTCATAATGGGTTACTCCAGAGCAAGTCAACGAGAGGTTCAAAACCTTTTTTTATACCGAAGCAGCTGCGCAGGCAGAAGGCTGAATGCCAGGACACCGCGCCTGTCATGAGGATCCCAATGAAATTTTGTTAATCCGATTTTTGAACTGTCTAACGTTAGTAAAACTGGGAAAAGCTTTCTCTTGTAGATTGCTCTACAGGCTCTACACCCTCGGAACAAAGGAGCCGTCGTATCGGCCAGTTCTGGATATACGGAGTTCTATCCGGTTAGGATGGGAGGCCAAAGTCAGGCGGGTCTGTCTGGCAGGCTCATCGCTCTGACGACCAGAACCCGTTGGTGTAGCGGTAGAAGAGAGCCAGATTGCGGACGGCCCGCCAACGCGAAAAGGTCTATTGGAGAAGAGTCATCGAAAAAATATATTAGCGTTTTTATGTTATTGAACATGGCAATTGATGAAACCAGATTTTTCGTTATTTCGTTGATTCGTGGTTAATACTCGTATCAATCGAATGCAGTTGATAAAAGCAAATCTTCAAAGCTACTTACCTTCTGTCGTTACTACTCTTGACCTCACCAGGTCAGCTTTGTTCGCAACCAAAATTACTGCTCTTGTGCTGATTGTATCCAGCGTCCAAAGATTCTGCAATATGTTCTCAGCTATCTCCAAGCTCGACCTATCGGCACTGCTGTATACGACGCAGTAGGCATGCGGGTCGGTATATTTCCTTATACAGCTATCAGGCTAAAAAAAAGCAACATTTCAGACCTCATTTTTATAGTTTTCAAATGAGTTCGCAGATCTGTTAAAGCACATTTTGATAAGAAGGTTTTTTATACTGTGGTCTTCTGAAAGTGTCATGAGCTTTCAATAGTTCGTCATTGCGCAGCTAGTGGCAGAGCATTATACCGAAATAAGACAGCACACAGCGCCATCTATTATCAGAATTGATGATCTAGGCTTTGCTGGTGATCAGTTGCAAAAAGCACGAAACAGATGTTGTTCGCGGTCTGTGGTCAGACGATGTTTTGAGTATTACATTGTTAACCCGCTTAACTGTCTTATCCTGTATTTATTTCTATCATTTGGGGAAAAATATAACTAAGCCTCGCAAAAATTTATTGAACAAAAAAATTTTCAAAAGTCCTGGGAGACAAACAAGAGGAAATTAGTTGATACTATCCCCCAGCTAAATGGTTTCCAGCTAAAATTTAAATAAAAAAAAATCATCTTGCTGGGTGCTTGGCTATAACAAAATGGTGGAATTCATTCCAACACAAGAGAAGGGAGTCTCTCGAACGAAAGGCTACCCAACTGGAAGGTAGAACGCTCGAACAGTGATGGTTCTTGGAAATGGGGACTGCTCTTCGTAGACGTGAGTCCTACTTATAGACCGTTTCGGAGTGTTAATGCAGATAATTCCCCTCAGCACGATGGTTTGAGTGTAGCTGTAATAACGGCTAAGTCCCCAAGGGGGTGAGAAAAGTGGCCCGACAACAAAATTCCCCAGTGGAGGCCGATTTCTATCAAAATCTCCACAACCCGGCAAAACTCAGCACTAGGTGTGAAATTATCTCACTAACGTAAGGTTGGGGCTGCTGAGCTGCTACACGAGGGCACCAAGTCACGTACAGCTCTCGTATTTACGGTCGATGGAACTTACAATCAATTATGAGTTTAAACCTCACAACGATTATTCTATAATGAAACAAGTCCCGCTCCGTGGTCATCCTTGCGTTGACCATACCGCACGCCCTCTATTGTCGAACAGACAGATCAACCACATCCTGACAACGGCTTTTAGGGAGTTTTAGAGAGTTGAGTACGATCCTCCACCACAGAAGCGTTAGAACAAACGAAGTGCTTTGCGATAAAAATAGAATTCAACATTTTTAAGAACTGTTGTAAAATTATTATTCTAAATAAGAAAAACTTTGTAATAATTTACTTTATCAAGATGTAATTAATTACCAATAACCATAAAAAGAAACTGTAACAGCACTTTTTATAATATCTTAGCTAGAATCCTTGCTGATGTCTCGAAAACGCATTATTTTAGTGGCTGGGCTAAAACTGATGAAAACCATCGCAATTTCGCCCCATTTTATTCAAAAACCGAGCATCTATCCAGATCACAGATGCGTAACTATTTATTTTCTAATAAATATAATTCTTGTAAGTATTTCAAAAACGGGACATTTCCGCAAAACAAAATATGAAGATTGGGCTCAAATCATCAACTTACCCAATTTTTAACATTTTGAGTATCGTTCATGGTCATTGAAAATTAAAATGTTTGCGGTCCTAATAACCTCTATAGTAAGTATTTGGGGTCACTAAAACTGAATTTGAAGCTATTCTGAGTGAGTCTGATCCCGATTATGATGTACATCCTATTATTTAGTTTATAATATAGTTATATTATACAGGGTGGAGCATTGAAAACGAAACAGACGCATTAACTGGCAGCTCAATTACTTTGCTGCCAAATGCATTGATCTCCGCTAATGATGATGTATTAGTTTTATTTAAGCTTTAAATCAATAAATCTTTAAAACTACTGAACTGAAGTACATTAATTTTATATTCTTATAAAGGGAATTGAAAGACCTTTAAAATAAAGTATCACTCGACCCCCCTTTCCATTTAAGATTTTAGGGTTGGTGTCACCCCCGCCCAGGGGGCTGCACGTGTTAACGTGATTTTTTGCCAAACTTGTGTCCCCTCGAAAACAAAATCAAGGGTCTGAACGTTTTTCCAAAAAAAAAACTAAGCTGCCAGTAAATGCGTCTGCTTCGTTTTCGATGCGCCACCCTGTATAATATATAATTTTAATTTAATTTGTAAGATTAAAAGTAAACATTGTAAATCTGTGCGACTTTGAGGTGTTAAAAGTCTATTTTCATTATCGGTATCTGCATGCCAACGAAGGTCTGTATAATCAGGTAATCTGGGGCGCCTAATTTGAATATCATTATGTAGGCATTCTAACGTACCGTGGTGCCAAATCTAGGTAAACATCGGTAAATAACAAGTCACACGGGACCACCCGCGAATCCTGGTGCTAAATTCAGAATCCTCGCACCGGATTTACTGGGGAAACAAGCTTCCATCAATATCATAGTCGCGTCGCGCACACTTTTTGAAAACGTTTTATTGGTATTTTCTGATAAATAGAATTCTCGAAGCGGAACATTGCTGGGCTGAATGGACCCCGAATTCGAGTTCAGCTACTCAAAGTACGTACTACAAGCATAGTTAGACCCACAGTCTCGACTCACCTATTGTTGACGCTTTATGTAATGATTCTAGTCACAAAAAATTTAAATGTCTTAACTGTGGCCCAAATAACACTTATCGTACGTACGTGTATTTAGGCTCACACAAACGGAATCCGGAATCTGTATGTACCTGGTCCCGTTTAAGCCGCAGAGAACCAATAGCCTACATTTTCTCGCTAAACATAAAGCTTAGACAGCTCGTGTCATGGAAATTTTCTGGGTAACATTCTGTAACACCACCCTGTATAATGCTAAATTTATAATACTTACCGATAAATCTGACGAAGCGAAATCTATGAAGCATAGCTCTGACTCTTCTCCAGCTAAAAGGACGGAAACTGATTTTTCCCCGCTGTCGTCATCTGAAAATAAATCGCTCTATCAGCAATAAGTTCCACTGGCTACCAACATGAAACAAAATTCTAGCTCGTCAGTTAAAGCGACTGCTGGAGAAACTTTCTTATATTGTATAAAAATAAACTTCAGGATAAGACCGACTCGATGGTCTTGTAGCTGCACGCTTTCAAGCATGTACAGAATTGATGATCGTCTATTATTTAGTATTACGATATAAAGCCATATAAATAGGTTACATTTTTTAAATGAGACGCCTTATGTACAGAGTGTTCAGTATAGGGATGGCACCGATTCATTGTCAACAATGTCGAAGCATATCGGTCTTGGCTCAGACACTGTTCCTGTTGTAACGCCGTCGTATAATTGGAACTCTGGCTACCAGCGAGAGACACTCTCTTACATCAAATAAAAGATTCGCGACGCCAGACCCCTTCCATGGAAGTTCATGACTTGGCCTGACAAACGCTAGGATGGTTCTTGACTCGTCGATAGGCAAATAAATACCCGACCGGATGGCGAAAGCCCAGTGGAGTCTACAGACACAGTCGAGCTGTGGACAGTGAGCGCGGGACTGAGATGAAATCATAGTCCAGTCGGCATAGCATTAAATTTTTTATAAAGGTCTAAAGCTCTAAGCTGTAAGTTGTATACTATAGCTAGAAGGAAACGGCCACGCATAGGTGCATCGTGAGGATTAATGAGTTAATGTGTCGATGATAATTCCACTGGATTCTTGTCTCGAATACACTTACTTGAGATTTAAAGCTAGAAATTAGTTGCGCGTCATTCTGGAAATTACATATGCAAATTTGCTGAATTACAAAAATGAGAGAGATAAGAAATAATTATACCCACTGTACACTGTCGAATTACGATTCAAATACATGCTAACAGTAATAACACACAACGCAGGCGCGGTCGTGATTTCCCGTAATTCTCTTCAAACTTTTTGAAAACACAAAAAAAAACGCAAAAGTTGTAATTTATGACCTTGAACATAACCTGTCTTCAGAAACGATAACATATAAATAACCCGTCGGGCACAGCTAATAGATATACTTCATAGGCAGCATATTCAGTATAAGGGTTTTCTCACACAGCAAATATCAATGATTTTATACACATGCAGATCAATACACATTATCATCCAGATGCGATCTTGCTATTCAACCAGCTTCCTTCTCAGAGATGAAAACTACAGACAACTCGGCTTCACAAAGCATATGCAACGAGCAATGCGTGTAGTTGAGCCATTCCTCCATAGATGGACGCTCACAACGATCCTAGTGAGCAAACCTCGAATGACTGTTTGCACCCTAAAAACTACCTAGTCTGCAAGATGACATTCTATAGGTTTTTTTGACATTTTATGTTTTTTACATAATACCCGTGCGGCAGGGTTATGCCGTAAAAAACCTGTATAATGTCAACATGCTGGTTAGATAGCACCTAGTGTGCAAATATTTCAACCCGCTCTTGCTCGCTATGAGCGCTGTGGGAATCACCCATAGCGTCACCTATGAAGGAATGACTCAACGACCATGCTGCAAGTCAGTTCGCAAGCATGCTTCGTTGGCTGGGGAGTGAGAAAATAGTCTGTAGAGTATATCTCCGAGAAGATGTGACAGGAAGAAAAATGGTTCGAGAAACGGAGTAGCAAGATTGCATCTGGATGATTGTGTGTATAGGTCTGCATGTATATAAATCGGGCAAAATATGTATATATATACTTCGAAGTTGAGTCATTTATTTTAACAGTGAGTAGATCTGATCAAAAAAATGTTTTTTTCCTTTAACATTGTTCTGGTAAAATTAAAGTAACAAAGTTATAGCCCTTTAGAAGTTTGAGTACCGCCCTGTCTCAATAATAATATTATGTGCTCGTGTTTGGCAACAACGGATATAATCCGCCTTATCGGTTCATCGCATCAGAAACAAAAAAGCGAAAGAATTTTAAACGTTTATCACGATGTTTTTCGTCAGTCGGTAACGCGTGAGTGAATAGTGGTGTTTGTTGCGTGACTCAAACGAAATGAAAAATGGCACATGTTTACGAAAATGCTGAACTTGTGGACATGATTCTTATTTACGGGGGGGAGTCTTTACAAAATGCTGCCGCGGCATCACAGATTTGTGCGAATCGGTTTCCCAATCGAGTGCAACCAACCCCTCGTGCCTTTGTTAATATAGTACAAAGGGCTCGTGAATCAGGTGACTTAAGACCTCACAGGGGACCTCACGATCAAATACAGGTCCGCACTGAAATACTTGTCGGGAGGATACTTTATAAAACAAGGTAACATTTTTTTTTGATTTTTTTTTATTTTTACACACATATTTTGGTTTATCTTCCTTCTACAATCATTACCTGAAAATTAATGACTCAACTTCAAAGTCACCCTGTATATATATGTATAGGTGAAACATTAAAGCTTCCGCCTTTTGTTGGGTACTTCGACAAAAAATTAAGCAAAGAGGACTTTATACTTTTTTTATTCTCTCTAGCTTTCAATGGACTTTGCCATCATCATCAGGAGCTGCAATTACATTGATAACAGTAGCAACAATAGTGTAAAATGAATTTAAATTGACTTGACTTACAGTAGTATGTCAGGATGTTGCTAATTGTTGTTTACGTTCAGGATGAGGGAAACACCCAGTAACATGGTGAAAGCTGGATAGATGGTACAATGGTCAAAATTATATAAAATACACACAACTGTGTGACAAGAACAAGTTAAAAACAGATTTAAAATTTTTAGAACATGAAAGCATTACATCGTGAAGCCACTTGATGATTGCACAAAATGGTGGACATGGAATAATGAGTGAGATGAACCCTTTGACAGAAGGCCGAAGGTTGTCAATGTCTGTGTAGAAAGATGGAACGAATTGTGGGCGTGTGCTACGTAGCCAAATCACTTCAGATGATGTGATTTTCAGAATGTGTTATGTAAGAAATTGTTAAACCGACCAGAGGCAGTTGAATTAACTATATTTTAATTAATGGGCAATTAAATTAACAATTATTATTAAATCGAGAGGAGAAAATTATTAGAATTTGAGTGGAATGAAGTTTATTGGTGGAATAGACCAAGAAGCAGATTCCATTTATGGTTGTGAAGAGTCAAAATTTGGTGAGATATGTAAGTGCTCCAATTTTTCGCAGTTTAGCAAATATGAGTAAATGACACTCAGTTGCTTAACATCTGTCTTTTTGTTGATACAGTTGTTATTCATGAAAATGTGGGACATTTCCAGGAATAAACGTTTGGATAGGTGTTTTTCTTTATCAAGAACTTTGATACTTGTGTAATTCATAGAGTGCCCTGTTGTGTTAACATGAGATGCTAGAGCGCATCTTTCAGGATGAAGCCTAGAATCACTTTTGCGTGATGTAATCCTTCCTTTAAGAGATCTGGAGGTCTGACCTATAATATATATATATATATATATATATATATATATATATATAACTTGAGACGTGGTCATTGTCGTCTAGACCAGTTAGGTGAAAAATTAAAGCTTCCGCCTTTTGTTGGGTAATTGTCGAAGTACCCAACAAAAGGAGGAAGCTATATATATATATATGAGAAAATTATTACTAAACATGCTGTCCATGAAGTAAGTATATCTATTACCTGCGCCAGACGGGTGATGTCCTTTCTGAAGACAGAATATGATCAATGCTATATCTAAGGTTTTATTTTAAAATCCATGCCAGCTTGCATATATGTAATTGTCGGGAAGAAGCATACATCTCAAGTAAGTACTATTCGTCATTATTCGTCAGAGCGGTCCGGTGGACCTTTGTTCTTAGTTAAAAGTCTCGTCAGTCTGTTGGTCTGTCAGCTCTGGCTACCCAGATACGAAACATGTTTAAGCGGAAAAGGGAAAGAAGGAAAGTAAGGAAGAAAGAAATAGAGCAAACAAAAGAAGTAAATCATTTGAAATAGCTTATTGCTTTGACTACTCGAATTATTTTGTAACTCCCAAAAATAATTTTGATGGGTATTGTATACTGAAATAATTTTGGTTGGTCTGAATTTACAATTTACTTTTGATCACAGTGCGAGGCGCGACCTGGAATGTTTGCGAACGTGCTCGACTGTGTAGTCTACTGAATCACGCAACAGAGGGTTGCTGTGCGATTTCGCTAGATTATAACGCCGCTGCGCCTGTTGTTTTACTTAATCCCTTAGATATGGAATATCAAGATCTCTGTGAATGATCTCATTTGACACGTATCAAGGGGCGTTAATAAGTGTATTAGAGACAAGAAACCAAGGCAATTATCATCAACACAGGTTATTAGCACACAAATCCCCACTAAACCATAGTAGCTCAAGCGTCATGACATTTAGGCGACACGTACAGCTACTCAACTAGTTCATATCGAATGAAGAACAGCTGGTTCAAATTGACATCTTATAGGACAACCGACATAAACTCACAAAAAACCGACATCATGTCATATTTCAATATACGTAATAACCCTGTCGTACGAGCAGAGCGTTTATTTCCAAAGTAGAGTCAACAATAACTCAAACAAGAAATAGGCTCTCCAGTACCTAATACCTCGTTTTTAAAAATGTTCATGGTTAGAATACCGCCAGTAGCAACTTCTTGATTTAGTAAAAAGATTAAATATCTATTTTCATAGAAGGATAATCTATTTTACCAAAACAAAAAATCCGAAACTTCTTTTTATAGGTATATTTTATTATAGATTCAATGTCAAACGCCGCTTGCCACTGCGGTGGTAGAAAATTCCTGATCCATTCAGACCTTAAAATATCCACTTGTCCGTGAATACATGCGAGAGATTTAAAGCTGAACGGAATTTAGCTTTCAGTTTGTTCCGTCGTATGCATAAAAACATCGCGTGCTGAAAAGCCACATTTAACGGCATAATAGCTATTCAAAAGTTAAGCTGCATTTACATATTTTGTACACAAGTTGTAAGTACAAAATGTTTAACAGCTCAGATAACACATAAATGTGG